TGGGGGGGAGCAGGGCTGGGGAGAGAATTGGCCGGCAGGGAGCAGGACTGACCTGGGCACATCCAGATCCTAGGGTGCTGCCTGTCCCACGCACGGTCCCGGCGGGGCGCACGGGTGAGTCTGGCCCTGGGGATTCCATCCCGCCCCCCTCCTCTCTACTGCATAGTTGCGTACTGATACTCATGATAATAATAAAACTTACTTAATAAGAAAATACTGGAGATTTATATGTCCAGTATTTTCTCAATTTGTTTCTCGGACAGAAAGCTCAAATACCAGACTGTCTGGTTCAAAACCAGACACTTGGCAACCCTAGATATCTGCATCAACATCCACATGTGGATATCTAGAAATTTGCAGAGTTCTAGTGATCTTAAAGTTACTTATTGCAGCACATGCTTTGGCCATGAAAGGTAAACAAAAATAAGCTTATGAAGAGGGAGTAGCTATTAAAACAGACAGCACTTAAAGTGGAAATACTAGCAACTGGTATAACTCAAAGTGGAGGTTAATAGGTATAAATACTGAACAAAATTTGAAGAATGTGCAGTTGTGTCAAACTCAATCAGTTAAAAGCTTGATAAATAAGTTATTTATGATCCAATCATGTGCTTATATGCCTACCAGGAGGCCCATTTTTTCATAATCTCCATTAATACTGCATATCCAATTCAACCCATCTACATCCTGACTTTTCAGATGTTCTGCAGAACTCACGTTTTCCTGCTCAGGGCTGCCAATGTGTTTCAGCACTGTTCCAGAATTGAGACCTTTAGAAGGAGTTCAATAATTGGCCTTCAGTTTCAGATTAATAACAAGAGTGTCAATTATGAAGGGTTTTTTTTAATGCAGACCACTATCCATTAGTGAATGCACAGAAATCAACAGTTTCACATGGATCATTGACTACTGCATAAGAAGTTACCAAAAGAGATGACCAGGGTCAGATCTGTACCAGTGACACAGGTGAACGGTTACTAGTAATATATGCATCAGCATTTTACAGCTGAAGTAACTAAACAATGCAAATATTACAGGTACTCCAAAAGGCAATGACATTTCTAGAAAGGTATGAAGCCTTTGTTTATCAAGTATTTCACTTTTCTATTTTAGTAACTATTAACTGGAACCCAGCGTTGGCTATCCATGCACATACCATAGATGAAAACCTAGTTTGATCACCATAAAATGGACTAGGAATGGACAATTACAACCTTAACCGCAAACTAAACTCAGATTAATTTAAAAAGCATAAATAATGACAATGAGTCAGTGTCAGAATTAGAACAGTTCCTATTCCTGAGTGGATTAAATCAATCCCTTTTCGCTAATTTATTTCTTTTACATAGGACACTGACATGTCCTACCCTATCAGAAGCATCTTGTCCCCAAAGCATATCACGTTTAAATAAATACAGCTATTGCTGTGTAGATTTAACAAGGCTTATTCTGATCAAGTACACAAGAGTTACACATACATGGGTCATCACTCAGGCATATGAAGGAGCTTGCATATTGTATGCACATATTAATCTTGGTATTTACTTCCTATTTTGCCACTGAGTTCTCTAAAACTGTTCTTTTGTTCCATAATAAATTCCGTAAAAGCCATTGCTAAAGCCATGTTCAAGACTACTTTATTTTGCAGGAATGGTACATACTTAAGAGTTGTAACATGGACAATGCCTATAATAAGCATCACCACTTTCCACATATGACACTGCATCTTTGTTCTTTACAGTCTACAGTAGTGCAAGTAAACTCAACTTAAAAAAGCTACAAATAAGGTAAGTGAGAAATAGCAGTTATGGGTGTGGCACATTTTAAAAGCCACTTAGACTAGTACATTAAATACATACAAAAAAGAAAGCAATTTCATAACGATATCTTTATAAAAAGATAGGGTTTCAAAATAAATAGCACTAATAAAATCTCCAACTTAATGTTTGATAATATAAAGTGTAAATATAAGACATAGGGGGTTTATTTATGGTTAAAGAAATGTGGAGAATCATGCAAGGCTGCATTTTTTAAAAAATGCAGAGGAAGCCTTAGTATGGAAACACAACAAAGCACGATTCTAGGATTAGGATTTAACCATTTCCATACAAAGAATTTACTAGAGTTGCAGAGGATTTATTTTCTTTCCTTTTATTTAGGGGTGGGGTAAGGATTTTTGTATTCTATGTGTTTCATTAGAAAGTATTAACATATGTTAAAAGCCTTGCCATGTAAATATCCAAAACAATAATGAAAAATTGTACTGCTGTGTAAAATACATTAGTCATTAGATCTCTCGCTATTTATCAGGGTGTTAGCGGACTACAGAGAGAATATCCTAGGACATGTCATTTCTAATATTTTATTAAATTGAGTGACATTTCTGGTTACACATATTTAACAGACCAAGCAGGTCCATGAAATGTTAGTATTGAAAAAAATGGGCAGGTGTGCTGTTTTATTTAATTTTTGGAAGTGGGGCAGGTGAATGTACTTTTTTGACTAGTGAATTAAAAGGTACTAAAATATCTAAGTATCTATTTTCCCTCCACTTATTTATCTGGGTACAAAATTAGTGTGTAAATTTGACCATCATTACAAGGTTTTTGCAGAGGCTTTTCTAATCCAATGGAAGAAGAAATGGTGCTAGAAATTCTCTCACAGGGCTAGTCTATATTTGCAGCTGTGCCACTATAGCACGACTGGTGAAGATGCTTTCTCCCATGAGCATAATAAAACCACCTCCCTGAGAGGCAGTAGCCCTCTCTCACAGCGCTGTCCACTCCAGCACTTAGGTGGGTGTAACTCACGTCTCGCGGGTCGTGGCTTATTCACGCCCCTTAGCAACAAAAGTTATGCCAACTTTTAGACGGCCGTAGCACATACACCAGGAAGGGGGAGATGGGAGAGAAATCAAACCTAATGCGGGGCACGATTTCCTCGGGCATCAATTAAAACAGATCAAGTAAAGTGGCTTTAAGCGAAACACAAGCCAGCCGGGGAAGCCCCCAGCAAGCAGGCCCAGCGGCAGTTCTTCTCCCGAGGGCAGGCGCCCTTCCATAGGCACATGCAGATCCCAAGGCTGCAGGGAACCGCCCCAACAAGACCGCACATCCCGGGGCCCACAGCACTGAGGCGCCACACCCCAATTGTGGGGTTGGCCCAGGAGCGTGCAGAGCGAGTCGGGTCCTCACAGGAAAGAGGAGCTGGGAGCCGGTTACCTGGGGCCCGACCCGGGCGCAGCAGGCGGATGCGGACCTCTGGGTATGAAGCCACAAGGAGCCCCAAGTAGGGCTGGGGCGAACCAAGCAGGCGCCTCCCGGGGAGACGGATCCAGAGAGCGTTGGCGTCCCGCCTCCGCCCGCGGCTCTGCTCAACCGCCGAGCTACCGTTTCCTCCCACCGGTCCACCACACCTGCCGCGCCCGGGTACTGACAGAGCCTGCAGGCAGCCCACCAGGCGAGGCCAAACGCGAATGGTTAGTCGAGGGGCTTACCGTTAACCAATCAGCCTGCAGCACCGCAAGCGGCCCCGCCTTCTCTGACAGAGAGCAGCGAATTGGGTGGCGCGGTGCAGCCTCCCCTAGAGAGACGGCGTCATGCCGTCGAGTCTCCGCCCCCCTTCCCTCCCGCCTTGTCGCACTGCAGCGGCGCCTCGGCAGCCCCGGCGTCCGATCGCCTAGCAACAAGTCGCGAGGAGCCGCCGTCGCGGGTAGGTGAGAGTGACCCCTCCCTCCCAGTCCTGTCTCGGCGTGACGTCACGCCGTCCGTCATCGTCACTTTAGCGTGATTCATCCCGCCGCCCCAACCCCTCCCCACAGCGCGACATCGCCCACCTCTCTGTCAGTATGACGTCACCCACCACAGGACGTCACGCGACGTCACCCAGCCATGGCACGGTGTCACCCTAGCCCCCAACCTCGCAGCGAGAGACAACCCCCACCCATCCCCAGCCTGAGCATCCCTTTCACCCCCAGGGTAGCTCTGGGTAAAAGGCACATGTCCCTGCACCTATGTGCGATCCCCTTTCCTAGGCAGGAGTATTGGCATCTTAGTGGCACTATCCTCCATGTCCTGGAAGTGCGGAGGGAACAGGCTGGAGGGGTAGGTATGTAGTAGCCATGTCAAGGTGTAGTCAACTACACAATGAACCCTTAGTGTTAACTACACCTACTCCCCCCCTTGCTGCCTCTGTGTCAGAGCCCGCTAGAGGTGGGGGGAGTGGGAGCTGGTGCTGGTGAGGAACTGGCTTTCAGCAGGCTCTGCATGAGCACTGGATCCAGCTGGCCCTGCCACCCCAAGGCTGCTGCCTCTGATACCTATGCCACAGCAGCATGGAGGATGAGGGGAGTCAGCTTTCAAGCAGGCTCCCTACACATGCAGGCTCCGTGGACCCGAATACTATCAGAGGCAGCAGCACGGGGAAGCAGGCAGCGTGGGGAACTGGTTTTTAAACTGGCTCCACTCATGCCTGTGATAGAGAGGCAGCAGCGCAAGGTGGCAGGAGGGCTCCCCAGGAGTGGGGCCAAGAGCACACTAGCTGCCCCCCTACCCGGGGACTATTGAATAGTCATGTAACCACTAAGATTTTATGAGGTTACACAACTATCCAATTAAACGATATCTAATATCCCTAGTATGTACATTGACCCTTCCCATCTCAGCAAATAGTGGGAATCTGCTTGTGGAGAATTCCCCAAGATGTCATTAACATTTGATGCACTATGACAGCTCCCTTACTAGGGATGTAAGTGACTAGTCGACTGTCTGATAAGCATAAGCTTATTGGATAGTTGAGTAGTGACTTGACTAGTCGTTTCCCCTCCCCTCTCCTGCTGCCTCTGATCACACTGGTTCACCCAGCACTGTCTCCACGGGGGATAGTGGAGGCAGAGGCATAGAGAAGCAGCGTGAGCAGGGACTGAAGTAGCGTGAGCAGGGACTGTCCCACTGGAGCCCCAGGAGCTCTTGCTTCATTTCAAAGGCTGAAGCACTACAGTAGGAACAGGGGCCAAGTGGGGACTGCTTGAGTCTCCACTTGCCCCATGCTTCCTGCGGTGCCCTCCCTTACTGCCTATATAAGAGGCAACAAGGGAGGGGACATGAGCTGGTTCCCACCAGCACTGTCTCCAGGGTGGTGCCTGTCCCCCTGCTACTTTTATCAAAGGCAGCAGTGGGGGACAGGAGAGGCTGCTACAAAGCAGCCCTGGCCGCTGCAGACAGAAGCTGCTCCAGCAACACCCCTATTCATGGCGAACAGGGATGTCTGCCACGAATGGGGCTGTTAAACTTAGCGCGAGCTGGCACTAAGCAATCCTGGCTTGCTTGGACACTGTACCTCTGTATTTAGAATTTAATAAGAGCCTGGCAACTCTTACTACTTAAAATACAGAGCTGCAGTGCGGGTGGTTCCCGGAGCTACCCCCTCTGGGATTCTGCAGAGAGGTCCTATCGACTAATCGTATAGTCGATACAAATGGTACTGACTATACAATTAGCTTAGTAACTGCAATTTAACATCTTTATCCCTTACAGGAGATTTCAGGGGCAGTGGAGGATGAGAACCCTGTATTGCCTGGGAACAAAGATGAAGGGGAGGATCCCTGAATCTGTACAAAAGCTAGGCATTTGAATACAAGCAAGCCTGTACTTTTGGCAGATCTCTCTAGTTATGTGCAGCTGTTAACCTTATTTTTAGAGGACTGGTTTATTTTAAGCACACCAATGATCAAAGCAGAAGATGCTCAGGTTCTTGTCTAAAAATCAGACTACAGAATTAGATAATATAGAGAGTTCAATATCTTGTATGGATCCTTTGAGTATGTGGTAGGAACACTGATACTGAGGACAGAACCAGGCTTTAGAGATTTTTATTAAAGGAAGTTTTCAAAGCTTCAAACCCCAGAATCAGGAAGAAGTAATGCAGTTCTATGAGGACCTGTGGTAACATTCCTTATAGAAGCTATTTAGATTAGCATTCCCACACCCTTTCTTGGGGACCTAATGATAAGAGACAAAGGACCAGCCTCATCTCTAACATGCCAACAATGAGCTCAATGTTCCAAGCTCCTTAATGCTGAGATGGTGCAGGTAAGGGCTAGAAGTTGAGTAACTAAGATATACTTAAAAGCCAAGCTAACAGCTAAACGAAAGGAACTAACACTAAATGCTAAAAGAATATGAAGCTAAAAAAAGTAATTTCACATGGTGGTTTGCTCTTTTATAGTGTCTTGGCACTATCCTGAATATTCATGTCAGTGCCCCACCTTCTATGACCAAATCTCATTTCCTCAAACGCATACGTCTTAGGGTACACTTATTCTATAGAACATTAAAACACCCATACTGTGTCAGACCAATGGTCCATCTAGCCAGTATCCTATCTTCTAATGCCTGGTGCATCAAAGGGAAAGAACACAACAGATTATCATCAAGTCAAGTGATCCATTCCGTGTCACCCATTCCCAGCTTCTGGCTAACAGAGGCTAGGGACATTTTGAGCATGGTTTTGCATTCCTGTCCATTCTTATCTCGTTCTTGTTTGAACCTTGTTAAAGTCTTGACCTTCACAACATCTTCTAGCAAAGAGTTCCACAAGTTGACTATGCATTGTGTGAAGAAATTCTTTCAGTTTTTGTTGAGATCCCTTTGTAACTCTGCGGTCTGCTTTGGATTTAACTATCTTGAGTAGTTTTGTATCATCTGCAAATTTACCCTTTTTCCAAATAATGTATGACTGGTTTTCACACTTTTTGTATTGGTGACCTCTTTTACACAGAAAACTCCTGAGTGTGAACACCTTATAAATTAGAAATGGGATGTTAATTCAGTGGGGGGGCTCAGGGCTATCAGCCCCACAGAACTGACAGCTTGTGACCTCCATGTAATCACTTTGTGACCCTCTGAGGGGTCATATCTCCAGTGTGAGAGCCCCTGACTTACAAATAAGTTGAATAATACTAATTCATCACAGACTTTTGGTAGTCTGTATATGACTAGCATATCCTTACATATTAATGCATTTTAATTCATACATATTAAGTTCCATTATCTCATTCTTGAAACCATTACTTTTGGCTTTACCCGTTTCTTTTATGTTCTTATAAAAAGATTATCAATTTTAATGATACATAATCTCCATATATTAGCTATTGTATTGATCGTTTCAGTCCTGCATGCGGTGATTTAAAAAACTGTTTTAAATGGGCATCATATTACATTCCAATAGCTTTTCCATTTTTAAAAAATGAAACTTTATTACAAAACCAGAAATTTCTATGCATGTATATGTACCTACAATATTTTTTGTTTTTACTCTGTTGATTTTATATAGCAGTTTGTATCCCTTTTATAGTTAGGGATGCCTGACATTTTCTATTACAAGATCAAGTTTTTAACTGCTTATAATTTTGTCTATGCAACCTTAATTCAACCTCCTTGCATGTATGCATTCTGATAGTTTTTATATATGTGATCACACTTTTTCAAGGATTGTGAAGTGAAGAGAGTTGTTGCAGAAGGGTTGTTGTGCGTAGGACCCCTTCACGAGGGCAGAGTGTGGGCAGGACTGTGGCTTACTGTTCGAGCAGGCATCGCCTCCTTGGCCTATTATATCTGTCACCTATGGAAATTAGTAATTCTGATTCCAGACAGAAGTTTTAATAGTGTGCAGTAAACAAGTTCTGGGGCCATACATTGCACAAGATAAAACACTGTCCTGTCCATCCTGTGCTCTAAATGAGGCAGGGGTCCCATGGAGAAAATAGTATGTTAAACATGTAATTAAATACTGTATCATGATGAATGATCATGATGTATCATGCATTGGCAACCTTAATTCTGGCATTTTCTACTTTTGAGTGCTTGACCTTGCAACTTTTGCAATTCTTTTAATGTGACTTTTGGCATGTAATTATCTTTGCCATCCTGGGGGGAGGGTAGGACCAGAACAACCTTCTCAATCTGTTGCAGTCCCTGCCTCTTCCCACCCCTATTCCACCCCTTCCCTAAGCCCCCATCCCTACTTCACCCCATCCTGCCCCTTCTTGCAAGCCCCATCCCCTACATGACATGGCTTGGGTCATGCAGGGGCCTTGGGCTGTCAGCAGGGGTTGCCCATGGGAAGCAGAGCAACTCAGACCTAGCCCAATCTGCTCCAGCAGATGTGAAATTTAACTCTCTTTATTAAGGGTACATGAAATTTAAAGGAGCTAATTAACATTCAGCTGAAAGTGTTTTTCCATCTAGTCTTGATTAGGAAAGCAGAAGTCTGATTTAACTGACAGTTTAACAAAATTTTATTCTTTTAAAAAACTACTGCCCCAATTAAAATTCTTTATTGATACAAGAAAGATTGATGCTCCAACAGTAAGCCCATCAGGAACATATGATGTGTGCAGAAACTGAACATATGATATAGCTTTCTAACAGTCCTAATGTACAGTCTAATCCTCAATTTCTTGTCTGTTTCTGCAGCAGATGAAGTCTCATGCAAATTTAATTAATCCCTCATTTGGTATGTGACATATTGAAAAATGTTTCTCAGAAATGTGTACTGGTTCAAGTGTGACTCAATTATGAACCCCCTGTGGGCTGGCTTTTTTCTTTCCCTCTCCTAGAGCAGCCACAGATAATCTTACTGAAAAAACAGTAGCAAAAATGCTTCACTAAACCATCCCCAGGAGCCAGGGCTCGTATACTCCTAATATTGCCACTGTACACAGCAGGAGTTCAGAGGTTATTCTAAAATGCAGGGCTCCAGCGTTACAGCCACTTAAGAATACCACACAACCTGAGGTTAGCAATAGCTTGTTATAACTGTTTTGTCTAGCTCTTCACATGTTTGCCACAGCTAGCAAATGCACTGAGGATACAAACTTGTTAACGAAGCTTGCAATGAAAATTGATGTTAAAGACCTCTGATAAAACGTGAATTAAAACTGTCATATATTGTTCAGGAGACCTCTGATAAAACGTGAATTAAAACTGTCAAAATCCTGTACTCAGAGAATTCATATATTGTTCAGGTTTTTTTTTTCTGAGCAGAAAATACATTCTGCTGAAAATTGCTGCAGTTATGCCTTTTGCCTATATGGAGCTGCTGTGTACCAGGGCAGAGAGTATCTTATCCTGGATGGGAGCAGCCCCAGCTTCAGCTAGGGAAGAGAAGCAGCTACATTCCTCTCCCTGGAACCAGGTCAGGAAGCACAGGATATGTGGAAACAGACAGCATAGGGCATATAGGGCTGCTGGGGAGTCACAACTTAGAACAAGAACTGAATGGTAGAGAAGGTGCAGGGACACATGAGTGAAGCTCCCTAACTCCTCCTCCCCCACCAAAAAAACAAACAAACCCCGCTCCATACTTTTCCCAGCCATATCCAGTAACCCTCCAACTTCACATTCAGGCTCTTGTCCAGCAATTCTTCCTCTTTTCTCAATTCCTCCATTACCCGATTCCTCCTAGCCTTTGCACTGCTTCTGAGGATTCAGGAAATGAGTTTCTGTAGTTTAAATGAATTATTGCTCAAAGTTCTCTATTCATATGCCTGGCAAGGAATCCAGTTGTCTAAAATATATCCTGAATATTTTTTGTTGTCTGTATGGTTGGAAACATACTTGCTAATAGGTCTTTTGAAATAAATTGCCAAAATAATTAAAATGTTTGTGATTATATTATGTTATGGTGAAGAATAAAATATCCAGAATTTTGCAAGATTATGTGCAGAATTTTTTGGCACAGAATTCCCTCAGGAGTAGCTAGTGTGTACGTACATATACACACACAACTAGCTTGGATGCTGTTATGGATTTTTGTTTTTAAGAAATAAAAAAAAAGTTTTTCCTGTCCTGTGAGAGAATGACATCATCAGGGTCTCTAGCCGTGAAAGACAGCAGTTAACTCTTCCATTTCCCTGATGAGACAATGAATTAGGAGATTTTTTTGTTTCCTATTTTGTGAGATTATTAATAGAAAATCCCATTTATTTAATAGCAACACATGTGTTAAAATTAGGATTTTCTCACACAAAGTTCAAAAATAAATTGCACTGAAAGAGAAGGAAGCTTAAATGTAGATATTAGAATACATAATTACTAGAAACTGCTAAGCTATTATACCTTGTTGGAAGTATGGCTGTAGTTACTTAGTTCACTAGGCCCTAAAGCGATGTTGATAAAAAATGAGCATTCCTGACAGTGCTTGGCTGAAGATACATGATGCGTGATACAGGGCCTAAAGCATGTGCATTATAAACAAAACAAAAGATGTGGCCCTCAGGACTCTGATAAGGAGGAAGAACTTCCAGAATGGTAGGAAAAAAAACATTTGTACTTTCTTGAATACATTTGAATAAAGGACAAATACACAATGGTAATAGGATTTATCTCCTTAAAATGCCAGTTGAATGTATGTTCTTTCACAGTGCTAATCATGTTTCTTAACACAGTCACCTTTTTATCACAGAGGACTGAAGTCTTTAATTTTTATTTGTGCTAGTGGAACCATTAGTTCTTACCAAAAAGCAGCCTCAAAGTATTTTAAGAGCTCTTCAATGTACAATTTTGGAGGCCTTTGCTGAAGTACTAGTTTACCTTCTAAATACCCCCTCTCTAAGGCCTTATATCAAGTCAGTTCTTTCTCTAGTAATGAGGACTGGACAATGCTACCTCTAGAATTCATCAGCACTTTTTCTTTAAATGACCAAAATGAGCTGTTATAGATGCAACACACTGGTTTATCCAGTTGTCTCTACAAAACTCCCCCTAGCCCAAGATCTTACAATTACCAACAGTTTGCTGGGTAGGGTCACAAATATAAAGCTTTAAATGAACCAAGCATGCTATTAAAGTCTGGGCAAATTACTTCATTATCTGTTCACCTGTCACCAGCAGCAAGATACCTGATAAAGGCCTAACAGTGTTGTTCTACAATTTTCAGAATATCAAAAGAATTATTGATATAGTTTATCCAAGTGCATCAGAGATCCTGTTTTTCTCTGCCTATCACAGTGGAGTCAGAGGTAACTGGAACTTTATTAATTTCAACAAAAACAGACTCAAAGGCAGCTTCTTGCTCTTCTAACGTAGCCACAATAGTGGCTCCTCTAACAGATGTTGGGTTGGTAAAAGCAGGCTGCTGCTCTGTAATAATTCCCAGCTCTGCTGTTTTCCGACCTTTTCTTTTACCTAATATTTTGATGTAATTAGCTGGCACAAGTCCTGTTGTTTGACCATCACGACTAGCCAAAAGCCAGCCTCGTACTTTGGGTTGTTGTTCTGATAAGAAAACAAAGCCATAGTTACAAAGCAATTCAAAATGCAGTTATACCATTAAAGCACTTTCATATAATTTAAGATCTCAGCAGATATATCAGACATTATACAGCCATTTAATTCAAAGTTTAGTAGAAATATGGAGAATACTTGAAACCTAGAATTGGTGCTATTAAATCAACAATTGCTCACATGACAAGACAGATAAAAGTTCATGTAGTGTTTGAAGTTGGGACGTAAAATCCCACTTAAAAAGTTAGGCAATTAAACCTAATGTTTAACCGGTTAATCGTGATCCTGTGACGGGGCTGCGCCAGCCCAACCAGGCTGGCGCAGCCCTCTGCCTGCAGCATGGTGGACCTGGTAGCATTAAGAGTGGTCCTCCTGGCTGCGGCAGCTGCTCTAGCCTGGTTAGGGCAGCTGTGCCACAGGCTTTTCTGGCCGTGCCAAGCCCGCTGCACCATGCCACAGGCAGGGCCCAATGCAGAGTTGGCCAAGCCCTGGAACAGCCTGTCACCCATGGTGCTACCTGCAGGCTACTCTAGCCCATCTGGGTGTGCCATGCTGCAGGCTGCTCCAGCCAGGCTGGGCCAAGCCCACCATCTCTGGGTAAAGCTGTTCCAGTCAGATCAGGCTGGACCAAGCCAGCTGCACAGTAGCACAGAAAGCCTGGCCGGACCAGCTCCTCACTGGCTAATTGGTTACTCCTTTACATGCCTAGCGTGAAGTGCTATTATTTATAGAAAATAAATTACAGAAGTTTATATATTAATATATAAAAATAAAGCTATCACAGATAACTCAAATGATTAACTCAAAATGAATTAGTTTAATTAAAAATTAAGATTAATCAGTCGTAATTATACTATTAATAATAAAATGCCAATTGAAAATTTATTATACATATTTATGGATGTTTTTCTACATTTTAAATATAGATTTCAATTACAACTGAATATAGAGCGTACTGCTCACTTCATATTTTTATTACAAATATTTGCACTTCAAGGAAGATAAAATGAATAGTATTTTTCTGTTCACCTCATACAAGCACTGTAGTGCATTCTCTTTATCATGAAAACTTACAAATATAGATTTTTGTTATTAGAAAACTGCATTCAAAGATAAAACAGTGTAAAACTTTACAGCGTATATGTCCACTTAGTCCTACTTCTTATTCAGCCAATTGCTCAGACAAATGCTTGACTACATTTATGGGAGATAATGCTGCCTGCTTCTCATTTTCAGGTGACATCGTAAATAAGAAAAAGGTTCTGCATGGCACTGCAGTAACCTGCATCATGAAGTATTTACGTGCCAGATACGCTAAACATTCACATGCTCTTTCATACTCCATCATTACAGATAAGACCCCAGACAGGAGACATGGCTGGGAGGGGTACAGTTGCATGGTACAAGGTGCTGGCTTCCAGGAGTGGCAGCATCAAGCTCATCTCCTTGGCCCCAGTAGTTCCTGGAAGTAAAGCTCCGTGGATCAGCAGATACTGATTTCTACCCACAGATAGACACGTATGTTCAAGTAGGACTCTACCCTGAGCCATCCCCCTGCTTCTGCACATCCCCAGCTAGCCTTCTTTCTGCACTCTGAGGCTATGTCTAGACTACATCCCTCTGTCGAAAGAGGGATGTAAATGATCCCGATCAAAAGTGCAAATGAAGCGCTTGACAAATGAAGCATAGGCATAGTTTACCTTTTATTTTTTGGCGGGGGGTAGGATGTGGCACAAGGGCTGATGAGGCTTGGTCTAGCTGCACACAGCACAGTCCAGGAAGGGAATGCCACTTCCACTCCCTGACTAACCTCAGCAGGCCAACCAGAGGGCATGCAACCAAAAAAATTAACTCAGAGGGGACTTAGTTCAGAAATAATGAAAAACACTCAGAGCATGTCTAGATTACATCCCTGTGTCGAAAGAGGGATGTAAATGAGCCCAACTGAAAATGTAAATGAAGTGCAGATTTAAATATCCTGCACTTCATTTGCATATTCGCGCCTGATCGCTGTTTCGAAAAAGGGTACAGGCAGTCCCCGGGTTAACTGTAGGTTTGTCCTTAAGTTGAATCTGTATGTAAGTCGGAAGTGGCGTCCAGATTCAGCCGCTGCTGAAACTGATCAGTTTCAACAGCGGCTGAATCTGGACGCCACTTCCGACTTACATACAGATTCAACTTAAGAAACCCAGCCATCCCCAAGTCCGAATCCTCACCAAAAAATGAGGTTTAGTGTATGCCCAGCAACAGCTGTAGACCCAAGACACTACCTGGGACAATTTCACGGATATCCTAGGTCAAATGACTCCAACTTCTGAACTAGTAATATAGATCTGCAGATTAATCCATGCAAAACTGGATGACGCATGCATGAGTAAATCACTCACAGCCTTAATTATATTAGCCACTGACCTTGCATCATATAAGCATGATTAACAGTACAGGCAGTCCCCGAGTTACGCGGATCTGACTGATAGCAGACCAGGGAGACGCAGAGCAGCTTTTCTCGCCCCAGAGGATGCGGGCGGCGGGACCGGGCGTCCTGCCGCTCCCGTCGTCCGGGGCTAGAAAATCCCCGTTCGTAACTGCGGATCCGACATAAGTCGGATCCACGTAACTCGGGGACTGCCTGTATTTCAAAATTGAAACTGCAGTCTAGACGCAGTTATTTCGAAGGGAAAAAAAAACCCCTCTTTCGAAAGAACCCGTACTCCTGAAAAAATGAGAAGTATGGGTTCTTTCAAGAAAGGGTTTCCCCCCCGAAATAACCGCGTCTAGATTGCAAGTTAGGAAGTGGAAATGGCATGCCCTTCCTGGACTGTGCTGTGTGCAACTGGACCAAGCCTCGCCAGCCCTTGCTCCACACCCTACCCCCTGCCAAAAATAAAAGCTCAACTATGCCTATGCCCCAACGGACCCTCCCCTAGCCTGGAGACCGGAGTCCTTCCAATGCCTCCTTGGCCCTGGAGTTTTTATAACATGTCGAGGGAGAACTGAGAAAGGAAAAGGCTAAGGACCCCTTCTCTAGAGCTTCCACACAATCACTGTCTGTTGAGACAGGCCAACTAAAATACATCTCCTTTGATCTCAAGAGCCTGTTTTTATGAATCTAAGCACTAAAAAGGTAATTAGAAAATAAGTCTACCATAAATCATAATCTTACCTTTGGGTGCTAATTTTAGCATATCACCAGCATGAAAAGAAATTTCTTCTTCTGAAACAGCAGAGAAGTCATATTCTGCTCTTCCCACTACATGATCATCCTCTCCATTTGCCCAGTTATTAGCCACTGTTTCACAGAAAAGTTAAAAAGCAGCAAAATCATCTGGATCTTTAAAGTGAAACTCAAACTAAATTTTTCCACAATTATACTAAGTATACAGGACTCTGTAACATTTATGAAACACTTTATATAATAAAAGTGTTGTACAAACATTTATTATAGTAACAGGCACATAGGGCACTATGCAATTACCAGTCTTTTTAGGTGCTTCAAGCGAGGCTTCAGAATCCATATTTAGGCCTCTGCATATAAGTGTCCTGGTTTGCAGAAGTTTCTATTTCAAATCAACACACTGATAGACTGAATAAAGCAAGCAAGCAAGCAAACTCCCAAGTTTTTTCCTCAATAATGAATGTTATTAGTAAAAGGCTATACTGCAATACCTAGTTGAATCTTGTTGCTACATAAGTGTCTGTATAAGAATCCTAATTCAGCAGCTGTATGCATGTGAAGCAGACCCAGAACTCAGCTGTAAAATCTTCCCTTCTCTAGAAGTAGGACCTCTTTGAAAGAGAACTGAATGGATCCATTAACGTGGGATCAAAGAACAGGCTATTTTAATACCTTAATCACAATCAGCATATTTAATTCAGCATGTTTAGAGTATAATTTACTAATATAATTATGGCAAGAATATTCCGTAAACTATACACCCTTCACTTTGTTGATCTCCTTTACCTGTTTCTTCATCACTGTACGTGGAGAGCAGCTTCCAGATGAGATAGGGGCCCCCAAGAATAACAGCAAAGAACAAGAAAATGGGCCAGGATTTTGCTGAGTTAGCTGCCCGGTCCTCAGAGCCAATGCGAACCACAGTTCCTTCACTTTCAGCCCACAAATCCTCATTCTCAGAGCTCTTCCGCAGACCCAGCAGCCGCTGCAGTCGTTTGTAGAGGTATCTTATAGTTCTGACTAATGCAAAAGCTGAAAACACCTTTGTGAAGTGTATTTTGAGTCGTGAGAAATGATTGGCTACATCCAATACAGCCCGGAAACTGTTATAGACAGCTGAAAAGGTAGCATCCATCATCATACTGACTGAGGCAAATGCATGCACAATACTTTCAATGGACTGAAATGCACCTCTGCTGCTCTCTGAACAAACCTGCTGGGCGGCAGATCATCTGTACGAAACCGATTATAACCCAAACCGCCATATCCGTAACTATAAGGGCTGTAGCTTCCATAAAAGGAGTTTCCATACGAGCTGTAGCCTGGAGAAAAGGAACTGCTGTACGCAGGTCTGAAAGTGCTCAGGTTACTGTTCCCTGCCTGCTGTGATGGTCTTGGCAAAACAGGCAGAGGTACTCGTGTGAGTGTGGGTTGTCCAGGCCTGGTCAGCAAGCTGGCACCCAAATCAGCAGCTCTAAGTAAATCCAGAGGATCAAAATCAGGACCATAGTCATGTTAATATTCACATTGCCCCAACGATCTGCATGCACTGTGTGTAGGGGAGGGGGCAAAGTCCACGTGACCGAGTCGAGGGAGGGGGGCTTGGCGGGGTCCCTCCCACAGGAAGTCTCTCTCTCCCCCTCTGTGGGAAGGGGGGCAGGACCTGGCTGGGGGAAGATCCTGGGAGAGTCTCCCCCCCCCACCCCCGGAGTTGCCATTTTGGGTTGGCTGTACCCCCGGTAACGTTTCACTAACGACCGCTCTGCAGGCTCCAGGCCGCTCCTGGCAGGCGGGAGAGGGGCGGGGCCGCACTCACTGGAAGGCCGAGGCCGCGGTGCCCGCGAGGCGCCGGTTCTCCCAGGGCTTGGGGGGCGGCGGCTGAGACGCCATCTCCTGCGCTGCAGCTCCGCGGCGCCCGCCCGGGCGGGACACCCA